TCTTAATAATATATATGATTCCCTAAATGGCCCCATTACCTTTCCTTTAGCAGGCTGCCCCTTCTCGTACTCTAAATCTCCCCATCTGAGTAATTAGAGAAGGAATACTGTTCCTGTGATGTTAGGTTTTTGTTCACCTATAACAGAACAAGAGACAAGACTAACCCCTTCCAAACCTGCTTGGGGTAAATGGCTTCAGAAGGAAAATGAGAGTACACAACTCCACCTTTCAATATGTATTGTAGTGGGTGGAGTCCCTTCAGCAAGGGAATCAGCGGCACAGCCTGCTTTGTGGCACGGACACATTGGCAAAGATACCTTCTGTGCATTCCTTGGTAAAAGTAAGATGTCATCCAGAGTTTAGAGCCCCCTCTGTGCTGCACCAACCTTAAAACAATCTGACTAGCATCAGTGGATTTTGCAAGTTCCAAATGCAGTTGTAGCTGCCTCATCACCATTTTCTCTGCAGAATTTGCTATATAGGAAAAATTAGCAATGTTTGGCGAGGTTATCAGCATCAGGCAGTTTTTGAAGCAAGGGCTTAATCATGAACACTTTATGAAGACCCAAGCTTCATTTCAGAGAGCAAAATCTGATGATTCTCAGTTCTTCTGAAGAGTGTGCCCAGTACCTTGTCCCCAGGTTTTCAATACCAAGATAAGCAGAACAAACAGGACATCTAAGATGAGATCTTCACTGAACATCAAGTGAAGTCATCTGCCTCATGGAAAGTCATTAGAAAAATACATTTTTGCAGGTACTGTTTTGAAAGTATTGGTCAGGGCCCAAATCCTAGATGCAAAAGTCCTTGTGTCAGTGCTAAAGAGCATTTTGAAGTCTTTTGTTAAATCTTACTCTTTGGCAGTTTGTGCATTTCTGAAGCGGTCCTTTGCAACTTATGGAAAGGATGGATTTTTAAACAGAAAAATTATCTAAATAAGATATGGCATAAGAAATGTGCTAATCATCTCCAAGCCAAGAGATGTCATAAAAAGTGTCAGTATGATGGATGCAATGGGTAATTGAAGAAAAATATTTCCATTTCAGCCATAAGAAAGCAAAGAAGAATCATCATATGGAAATTCAGAGGTGAAACTATATTCCAGAAATCAAAAGATCAATACAAAATCTTCTGCAGATGGAGACTTGTGATAAAAATCACATTAGAGAAATGAATTCATATTAAGCTAGAAGTGATCTATGCCATATCTTGAATAGTCTTTAACTTTAGCTTGAGTCAAAACATAGCTTTTCTAAAAGCTTCCAATCTCAACCTGAGCTTCCATCATACTGCTAAATACTTTTTTTCTCCTGACTGATTGGTTTCACTATGTGCTGTATTTCTGGTCTGAAATTTTCTTCCACTTCTGACCATTAGACAGTTCATACTTTTGTTTCCAAAGGTGAAAAACCCTCTACCTTCTATTCAGGGGTTTAGACTTGCTTCAAATCACCTCTTAACCTTCTTTTGAAAAGAAGGAAATAGAACAGTCGTCTTAAATTTCTCACCCTATGGCAGGTCTTCCAGATTTCAGATTGTTCTTGTTCTCAAAACATGCTGCAGTTTACAGCACCCACTTTGAAATAATTCTGCACTCAACAATAAAACTGTTTTCCTATTTCTATTGAGTATTCCTCTGCTTTGCACCCAGTCTACTTCATATTCAGTGAATATCCGTGATGATTCCCAAGAGTCTCCTAGAGACATTGCTTTCTGACTATGCAATTCCCAGTTCTTAAAAATGTAACTGGAATGTTTGACTTTGCATTTAGTTGAAAGCACACATCTTATTAATCTTTCTGAGCACTGCAAAGACCTCATCTATTGGCTTGGGCTGTTATGTATCAGGGAAATAAAAAGCATAACCAGTAGTGGTAAGAGAGAAGTGAACAGAAGCACCATCGGTTTGTTTACATACAAATACTTTATACTCCAACAGATTTACCCATTTGCCAGTTTCTAATTCCCTTCACTGTAAGCAATGTCAACTTTGTGGTAGCTTTAGGGGAGCATCCACATGAGCCTGCTCACCCATGTGTATCAGCCACTCTGGGTTCGAGTGAGGAAAGGAGGAGGATGCCCAGAACCTCAGCTGCCCTACGCTTGCTAGATCAGCTGACATAGTGCACTTAGCAGAAGGCGTTTTGCCTACTGTGTGTTATTTCTGCATTGCACTAAGGAATTCACCAGTAAAGAAATTGTAACCTAAGGAATTTCTGTACTTGGAGTTATAAAGGAAAGGTTTTCTTCCAGACAAAAGGGGGGCAGATCTTCTACTTAAAAAATGGTGCTAAAGGACAACCTGAAGGAAGTGCATGTGCTCGCTCTCTCATCTGGTCTCTAAATTTGTAGCAAACTTAGGAGCCTGGACATGCCAGAGGCCCTTGGCATGATTTGGCTGCAGTGTAGACAATACCCTGTTAATGATGCTGCTCCTATTGCTATTAAAATGACAAGTGACTTTTTTCTTATTGGTGGCTCTAGGCTTGTCATCAAAGCAAAATATTTTAGAACAGCATTTAAAATGCCTATTCAACTGCTGAGTGTTGAGCACATGTAAATACTGTTTTCTCCAGATATGGTAGTTTATGATAAATGTTACCAGATTTTGTACTGTTCTTGTAGCATGCTACTAAACACTAAGATAAATGGGCCCACTGAAAGGGTATTTCCTTTGGAGGACACAAGCTGCAGACCACCCATAGAATACACAGAAATAATTAAGTGTCAGGATAAAAAGCTAGAGCAAAATATTAGTGTCTCAGAATCCTAATGAATAAAAGACATTTTTAAAACAAAGACTATACATATAGGTGTTTTGAAAAAATAACATGAAGCCACAACAGCATTTGGGGCAAAGGAAAAAAGAATACTCCATCGTATTATTGTACTGTTTGAAAATTTCTAAATATTTGTGTGCTGTGTTTTTACTTCTGGCAAGCTGTAGAGAGGTGTGCAAAATTATGCAGAACTGTGGAGACCTGAGTCTTTATTCATATCAGCCTCTTGCTAGAATAAAAAACTTATTTGTGGAGAGGTATTCGAGAACTACGTTGCTGTAAAAAGGAACTCATATGGCCTTGCGACTGAAAACACTGCTTGCAAAAAATTTCAGACCCTGCTGTCCTGAGACAGAGAGCTCTAAGATCAATCTGAGTAACTTTCAGAGCAAACAGAGAGAGAGTAGAACGTAGTTGTGGCAGGTCTTCCGCAAAACTTCCAGAGACTTCAGAGAGAACAAAATTGCACCTATGTCCTATCTAAATATTAGAGAAAAAACTTTACAAAGACACAGATATTACTTGGGCACCCAATTTCCTCAGAAGTATTTTCTGGAACAGCTTCTGCCTTGTCTGATTATATACTATACAGGTAAGTAGCAAAGGTTCAGGCTCCGCCATCACAATCTCTTCAGCAAAAATATAAAGGTTTACTGAACTTGAAAGTATAAAGCATTGAAGCTTTGGGTATTAAATTAGCAAGCAGAATGAGTGTATTATTTAAAAGTTGTTTTGTATTACTGGAGAAATATAACCTTTCTCTATAAAATTAGTTTTGAATTTTAGACCCAGCTCTGCAGTCAGTTCCCTTGAGGCCATTTAACCCATCATCCCTCCCAGGTGTTGTGAGGGAACGTGATGGTTGGCACGAAGCATCCCACGCAGACGTTGCAGTCCCACACTGAGAGAAACTAGTATCTTTCAAATTTTACTGTTGAGAGGGAGAAAGACAGTGAAAGAGAGAAAATCTCCCAGAACAGTGAGTCATTTGGCTGGAAAGGACGAAGTTCAACCACCTCCTCTACCTCACTCAGTAATTGCAGAAAAGTACAGTAGTTGCAAACTATAAACCCGGGTGTATAATAAACCTCCTTTGTAATATTACCTGCTCCTTAAGGCCAGGTCTTCCAAATGGATTTGTGAGATTAGAGCCCTGCATCTGCACAAGATATATTGACTTCAGTTTTGAAGTGTTTAAAGGAACTCATATGCTACTTAACCTTTGTGCTGGTCTTTTGTATCGGAGCAAGTTTCCCATGCAGTATGGAATGCAAATGTGATAAGATGTATATTTTTCCTTCAGTGCCACCAAGAACTGGTTTTATTCATACTGTCACTAAAATAATTTTTAACAGGGAAATACCAGAAAAGTCAAAGGAATTGGGAGAATTATTTGAAAAGTAAATGACCTTTACTTATCCCCCTCAGTGTCTTTTAGTAACCTAGTAACCTAGTGATTTAGCAACCTATCCTAAAAATAGTTGTTCTGGTAACATAGAGGATGGGCCACAGAAAACACCTGGTAAAAGACAGTACAGCTCACCATAATGTCTTTTTTCCTTAATTAAAAAAAAAAAAAAAGCAATATAAAGGCTGTTAATTCTTTTCAGAATCCACCCCTTCTGAAATATTTCCTTCATCTCTAAACTCTGCTTTGCAGATGACTTTAAGCAACTGTTACTTTACAGCACATCACAAATTATATTACAAAAGCATAATTCCAAACCGGTCCGATTACTCTGATTAAACAGAGAGCCATGTCAAGAAGGTAGCCTTTTTATATAATAAAAGTGATGATAATAGTCTAAGTCTCATCAGTCAAAAGGTTTTATTAGTCTACTGTAGAAAAACGGTTTTGCTGCTGCTGAATGATATATCCCTAGCTAGTCACAATATACCTCATTTCCTGCTTAGATAACGGAAGATACTGAGATAAAGCGTGAAAGGAATAAGGAGCTGTGTGATACAGATATATGGAAGAATAAAAATGTTATAAAAGTAAAAGTGAAGTTCTGCTTAAAAACTTGCGTTTGAACTAAGTTTCAAGAGAGAAAACAAAGATCCCCAAGTTTCTGTGTGCTTACTTTGGATAGGACAGACTTGCTAATAGATCCAGGACCCAATAGGACAGAAGAAAAGACTGTTTACAGACTAAAATACGCTAAGACGTTCACAGCACCTGGCACAGCTTAAAACTAAATTGTGTTATCTTACTGTAGGTTCAGAAAACTGTCTTGAACAGAAGCTGAGAACACCTCGTCGACGATGTCAGCAGCCCAAAATGCTGAATAGCCCTGAGGACAACATGTACTATAACCAGTTAAATGTGAGTTCAAAGTGGCAATAAAGCTGTTTTACTGGCTTTGTTTCCAGTTAATAATTCTGTTATTAATACCTGTTTCAGCCCCTCCAGCCCCACCCCCACGTTCTTCTGCTCTCGTCTTGAACATGTGCTTATGCTCTTTATCTGTTGCTTTCATGTCAGGATGTCTGCCTTCACGGTGAATAATTGATGTGGTTTATCAAAGACGAGCAAGATGCATGCTTCATCAGGCTCACTTGAGCCCTTTGATCAAAAAAATTATGCTGTGACTTCTGATATTATCAGCATCTGCTTGCATTCAACACAAAATCACTTTGAATTAAAAATTAACGACTTGCTGCTTTGCTTTGACTGTGTGTTCTTGGCCCTCTCCACAGGGAACTCTAGAATATCAAGGGAGCAAGAGGAAGCCAAGAAAACTTGGGTAAATATCTATCTTCTTAGTTCTAAGCAACTGTAAACAGAAGAAGTCCTTTGTGATATTACAGAATATGCAAAACTTTCTAGAGAGGTTTCTAAAAATAAACAATTAACATATTTCTGTGCATTGACATTGGACATTTTCTGCAGAAGCAAATGTAAAACTTGCATGTACTGCTGTCTGCAGACACTAGAACTGATTCGTACAAAATACGCTCCCCAGCTCTCTCTGAACACTACTACTACACACAAAAAAAGAGCTTCCTTCATGTTTTTAAGTACATTTAGCACTAGTGAAAGGTGCCAGAGGAAGGGTGTTGAAACTGAAGTTCTCTGACCTAGAACACAGACAGAAACCCTGCCAGCTTTGCAGCAGCACACTCGCTATGGGCTTCAGCCCTCCTGCGGGAGTACATTTTAAGAACTGACAGAGGGGCCACTCAGCCCTCCGTTGAACTGAGTCAGTTCTCATTGTCACATGAGCAGTTGTCACCTGCTGATAGGTAGAAATCACTGAAACCAATTTACAAAAGCCAGGCTGGCTACTATACAATTGCCAAAATATTTCATTGACTGATCACACACACCAGAGAGAACTGATGGATGCTTGGTCTTGCAAATGCATCTACTCCAAAAATACACAAGAACTTTCTGTATTACTTCCTCTGTTTTTAACTAATCTCTGAATACAGCTGTATGAATAGGAGGCCTTTGAGTCAAGGTCAGAGCCCAAAATTTTTCACGACTGTGTAAGATTTGGTTTATTTTATCTCTCTCCCCTAGTTTAAAAAAGTCTGTATTCCTGTTCAGGAGATAAAAACACTAACATGGGACCACAGTGCTCATCATACATCACAGGAAAATGAAAGCCCCTTGATGTCAGTAGGGCTTTCCCCCAAAATTGGTGATGTGGTCTTTGGCTTGTATTCACACCAAATCATCAGCTGAAATACGTTATCAAAATCATACCCTACTTGTGGAACATTCACAGACAAAAAAGCCACATTGCTCAAATGAAAAGCCCATTTGATGCAAATAGTTGGTCTATCATTCTATACACCCAAACTGAAAGACTATATTGCATTTCACTGATCCTCAGAACCATTCAGAGTATAATCATAAAAAAGTAATAGCAAAGTAGAAGTATGTATAAAAGCTATATCTTTCTCATCAAATAATCCTTTTTTTTCCCTTTTTTGTATTAGCACTCTTCATTTTCACATCCACAGAGAAGTTTATATTTCTGAATATATTGGCAGAATTAATTTTTTAACTTAATAGATATTGTTTTCTTTCAAGCCAAATCAAAGTGCTGGACGGAGAGGATGAGTATTACAAATCACTGTCAGCTGTTGAATCTATCCCTGAAGATGACAGCTTTTGCAGTTCCCCATCTCCTCCTCCTTCACGAGGTGTGTCTTTTGCTCAAAGCTGAACCTCACTTACTCTATTGACTAATACTGGTAAGAGTATTTTCATGCTGGTAATCTCTTCCAATTAACTTTGTGCGTTTGTGTTTATGTAATATATTAAAAAATACAATTTCAGCTAGTAACTTTATTTCACTAATTTAGCCCTGGTTTTGCTGCTGTAAATTGTCCCATTTAGCTGTATTTCTATAAGCAATTCCAGTAAAGGGGAGCAGCACTACCTGTATGTGTTGATGTTGGTAACAGACACGTTTCTTTAGCAGCAAGGTCAGTTTATACAGTTCCGACCCCTTCTTCCCTGCTCCCCCTCAGCTGCTGTTCCCACCCTGTGCCATCCCTTCTGTTGTGCTGGCACAACTGCTGGTAGAGCTGTGTGAAAAATAAGATCAAGGAAATGAAATGGATTAAAAGAACTCTGTACTAAAAATTTTCATCTGGGGTCATAGTGAAAATGTTTTGTATTTCATTAGACTGGTATTAAACATTATCCTTTATAACTTTCTGTGCTGTGTATGGCTTTTAACACTACAAAAATGTACAGAGTAAAATCATCTAAAATAATATGTCTCAATTTACCTTGTAAATATTTTTCTTATAAAGTATTGGTTTGCCATAAGTTTAACTTGAAGAATTATTTCAAATATAAGAAGGAAAACAGTTTTAAAGCTAACATTTTACACACTGCTTCATATAGTCCTTGTGACTGAAACCATCATTATGACTAGTTATTCTTGTTATCCATGAAAGAATTTAATTTCTTTCTTAACCTGTATCTCTGGGCTCCAGTGGTTACTACATTTCCACAGCCATCTTGTATGTAGCAGGGAAAAAAAGTCACCTGCAAATTTTTCTACTTGCTTTTCACTTTCTTTCCAAATCCCTAATGAAACGATATGTAACATTCTGTGGAACACTGAGATGCTTTGCTGGTAACCATTTCTGTGACAGAAACTGAGTATTTCACCTTACTCTTTCTGTTTCTGAGCCACGGTTTTGATCTGTGACAATTCTTTGCTTCTTTTCCATACAAGCTCTTGTCAAAAACTTTTGGAAATAAAACATTCACGTGTACTGCCTTACAAATTTGCTCAAAATTATTCTTTTTTTTTTTTTTTTTTTGAGAAACCATGCTGATTATATCTGACCATGTATTATATAGACCTAATTATGATCCTTGTTTTTATCTCCCCTCCAATGGGTTTACCCTGATCTGTGCTAACAAACCTTCTTCCTTCTGGAGGTGCAGTTCACACCTGTTCGTTAAGCTACAGAATTTCTTACTGTCAGAGTTCACTGGCACCATTTTTTTGACCATAGGACAAGGGAAGATGGCATGGGAAATGAGACCCAAGTGCAGTCAGGGCATCCCTAAGCTGGAATAGGGTTTTAAAGGAGAAAAGGTAATGAAATAGATAGTTCAGCAAAAGCTTTGTCTCTCCTAATAAAAACAGAAATTAAATCAGGCAGATGAGTATGAGAGAAGGATTCAGCTGTTCCAGGAAGAACAATCCTTCACCCATTCTTCACCCAAAATGTGACAGAAGGTTGAAACTAAAAGTTAAAATCCTGCTGGAGATCGTCTGGGTAGATGGACTTTAAAGGCACTTTAGAGCCTTTCAAATTTAGGGACTCCTTAAAAAAATGAGAATTGGTGAGTAGCTGCAGATTAATAAATAATATTCAAGATGCAGTGCAAATATGTATGGCAACTAAAATGAATTGTATTTGTGCAGATCAGTTTCTTTACATTTTATCAAAATGTAACAAGAATGAGTATTTGTTATGATATTTCATCAAAAAAACCATATAACTTTTCTTTTCCTACACAATGTATAAATTCTCTGTTAATTTGTAACATAACTGGATGGAAAATAACATTATTTTAAAAGAGTCAAATGACTTACTCTATTCTTATATTGGCATAGATCACACGGAGTTCTAGTAATATTGATGCTTTGTGGTTCCATCCTTCCTTTTTGAAAACTCTTTGGCAAAATAAAGTTTTATCATTACTGAAATTCACATCATTATTATGTGTAGTTAGAGTTTATCAATTGTTTTAGTTAAATGGTAGTGAGGTTTCCAGTTAGCTATTACGTCACCTGTCTAAAAGCCAACAGTTTACCTTACACTGAGTAATATGTTACTCTGAGTAGTTCTGTTAATTTCATAAAGAAGTAAGGGAAAATGAAAAAATAATATATAATTCAGTGAAGCACTTAAGCCAAAGCATAAGTCCCATTGAAATCAATGAAATTTCAGCACGTGATTAAGTGCTTTGCTGAATGGGGGCCCAGGTTAACAAGAGCAGGTTCAGAACATTAAATAGTAAAGCACAAGCAAAATGCAAACACTCCCTAAGTACATTCCTTAGGTTTCTTCTTTTTTCTTCTTCCCAATTGTTAAGCTTGTATCAATCTCAGCCATCAGAAATGGACTTCAAAGAGATTTTAAGCAGTCTCTAATTACATGGAAAGGGTAAAATACAGTATTTTCCTTGTTATATGCAATGCCACTATCTACATCTGTTATAATTTTTCAAATTAGTTTAATGTCACTAATATTTTTATACTGAAGTTACTATCTAAAAGCTGCCATTGAGTAGTGTGTTTTCATTCTTGCTACTTCTTGGCTAAAAAACGTGCCCAAAGCCTGTCTGTGCATTTTATTATTTCATAACTTATCCCCCTTTCCTCATTTGTTCTTGATTAATTCCCTTTACCCTCACCAGATAACCCCTGTGAGGTGGCCTTCTCTTGTCCTCATTTTAGAGGACATATATGCCTTTAGATTATTAAAGGCCATATCCTCAGCTTGCTGTGGAGCCATGCAGTCGCATTAAAACTGGCCAAAGAGTTGAACTTCTGTTCCCACACTGATAGATGTGTGTGTTTGGGCTGACTGATTTGTGCGTGAAAAGGAGTACAGGAGACATGTCAATGTGATGATTGGGGTCACTGGGAGCATATCGACGTGATATGAGATTTTTCTCATTTGGTTTTGATACCATTGAAGCATTGTTCTGATTTCTTTCCTTTCATTTATATTATCCTGAAATATTAATGTATTTTGCTTAATAGTTCATAATATATCCGTTCTTAATATTTTATAAAAGTAAAGAGTTTAAATCCTGTTAGGAAGAAGAAAATTTCTTAGACAGCGTGTAATATATTAAACAGTTTTCAGTAGATGGGAGAGAAAAGGGTGAAACTCAACAAGGGATTTTAGTAGATTTCTTCTGTAGACCTTTAATGGCCCTAGAAACCGGTTCTTGCTGAGGACAATTTCTGCCTTTCAGTTATGGCAGCTTAAAAACTTCTCTCTCTGCCAACAAAAATCGGGCTGGGAGCTTTTGGAGATTAGCCCCTTTCATTTGGTAATTTTAAACGTGCTTCTCACTGCAACATTTACATCACTTTAGTAACATAAAGGGACCTTAGAATAGGAGTAAATTGCAGCCATCTTAAATTTGCCCCCACTGTGACCTCCCTCACCCATACACTGTAAGAGTGGTGGAAAGGGCTTTTGTGCACTGAAGGTCTTTTAAGTGGCCCCTATCAGGCCATCCTAGGGGTCGTTGTTACTTAGAAGCTTATAAAATATGGCTATAAATAATGTAAAGCTAAAGACTTTGCTAAGTCCAATCAGACCAAAAGTTGATTTTCTTTTTGGTGGTAACAATCCAAACCACATTTTTCAATGGTAGGTACAGAAAGTTACCCACACTGGACAGTTACAAAGTTACCTTTCTTCCTTTTCCTTAGGAAGAAGGAAAATTTCTTCCTAATAGTAGGCAACTGCTGATTATCTTACATCATTTAGCATAGTTGCTAATATAAGCATAATGCTTATATAATTATATACTTACATGATATTTTTCTGTATTTTATATAACTGTGAATGTTTATACTTCCAAACAATTGTCTCACTATGTTTTAATTCCACTAAGTTCCTGACTTCTGGTACACTGTACTAAACGCTATGCACGGCACAAACATGCACACACACACAAAATAGATTTATTGTTTCGGTTTTAAACAAAAGGAATGTATTTAAATGTGGTCCTTTTTAATTGACTTGGAAACCTTCTGACTTGTGCTCTCAGAGTGTAAAAGGGAGCTACCAATTTACTTTCTTTATACTACTTTTTACATACCCCCAGTGCACTTCTCATGCAATATAAATGGTTGCACACTATAAAGATTTGTAAGGAATCTCCTAGGGTTGCTGTTTTCTATATTTAGATCCCTTCAATTTTTGCTATACTTTATTTAAAGATAGTCTCAACTGGATAATCTCTAACCTTCGTTGTCATAACCAGCATTGATTATTGTGAAGGAATGTTTTTTATTTATATCTTCTGTAATCATGAAAAACAGGTATGTTTTTAAATATAGAAGAAATTAAAATTTTTAAAAAAAATTGAAGATATATAGTGTCTTTAGGTCTATTCTTATTTGATATTGAATTCAATAAACAGTAGGAAAACAGGATGAGTTTATATACTTCATTATGTGGTTGTGTCTGATAGTCCAAGACATGTATGCCTAAGGCCTGTTGGTTTAATACACAATGGTCTCTTTTCAGTATCCATTGATCTTTGCCTGATTTTATGCATATGAGGACAGATGATCAAATCTCACGTTTTAGAACTCAGGCCTATCACTCTAAGTAGAGTTTCTTCACAGGTCTCTTCTTTAGTGAAAATTAGGAAATACATAATTTGGGAAAAAGTTACATGATTTCATGGAGAGGGAGTAAGAAGGTAGTTTTGTGGTGGAAGCAAATGGCTGGAGGTCAAGATGTCTGGGTGATGCTACTAGCTATTTTACACCTAATTTAAATTGATGTAAAATAGGATTTAAGTCCCAATTTAGAAATTTCACCTTTTTTTAAAAAAAATAGTGTTATGATTGAATATTTTTTCCCTCCTTTTGTAAGAATTGTAATTGTATAGGGGTATTGCTTTTTACTGTAAAATAGTTAGTAATGAGATAAATAACTGAAGTCTACCATACTCTTATTTCTCATTCCTTTTTTTTCCTCAAAATGGAAGGAGAATTTTGAGAGACAAACAAGCTCTGGCATTTTTAAATGTCTTCTGGTTAACCAGATATGTATAGTACATACAATTAAAAATAAAGCCTTGTGGCATAAAAGTATCATCCTATAAGAAACAGGTAAGTAGTTTTAGTACCGATATATGCACAAGACATGGCATGTAATAAACTTATCCATCCTGCTTTTAACTCTGACAATAAAATATGAGAAATAATGTCAGTTCTGTTGTTAACACGAGAAATACGTTTCTTTAATGTGCCTTTTTTTTAAGACTGTTCACCCTGGGACGAGTTGTAGCAGAACGCTTAGTTAGCTGAAAATGTTTCTGCTTGACAACAAAGCAGAGCTCCCAGACTGACAAAAGTAGCACAGGATGCTATGAAAACCAAAGGCCCGGGAGCAGTCCTCTGGGCCAGAGCTAAAGGTTACAGAACTCAGTGAGAGGCT